ATAAACCATATATTAGAATGATCATATAGCAAAAACATATCAATTATTATAATTATTATTATTATTATTATAAGCAATAAATTATTATATTGCACTTTAATCACTTTGTTATTAGTCTATTTTACAAATTTATTTTATAAATTGATAAACTCTTATATATTTATGTGCCTATATACGAATTTAATTTTCGATTGAATATATGATCTATAGATAGTCTAAAAATATATGAACTCATTCTATTTCCATTGCTTTATATAATTAAACTCATTTGTATGTGCATTCTGTTCACTGCTCATATCATTGTAGAGTCTCACATTTAAACCGTAATGAAGTTGCATGTACGGTCAATTATCTGTACCCGGTAAAATTATTGGAAACAAACATAGTTTTTATTATAAAGTTTCCTTTCAGTTCAAATTTTTATTCCGATAATTATATATGCAGAATATAAATGTTGTTGCGCGCTGTCTTTCACTTGTTTTCTCACTCTGAGGTAGTCATATGTAAGCATTGTGATAAATATAAGTAGTCACAGAGTAGCGCTTACTAGCATTTGATTCGTAAAACGAACAACAATACAATGCAAATGCCATCATGATACAGACTTTCTATTGTATATTTTTTGTAAATGTCTGTATACTCAATTAAATATTCAAGTATCAAACATTACTTGCATCATAGTATAAATAATTCTGAGTATTAATATGTGCAGTATGCACGTCAGTTCGTCAGGTCATCATTTTTCTTTCTCTTTTCTTCCAAAAAATCGTTCATGCCTATAGGATGAAAAAGTGTATCGGAAGACATGCGATATCCTTTATTATGCTTTGTAATGATGATAATGTACTGTGTATTATATTGCACACATGGCAATATAATACACATGCACTTTTTCTATTAAGATATTCATAATTTTTGTATATAGTTTTCTCTTCATATAAAGAGAATGTTGTACATCTTCAGTGATGAAAATTTTTATCAAGTTTATTCATTACATTGTATTACAATTTATAAATTAATTTTTTATATGTTGTTGCAATCTTGTATGTATGTATCTTATGTACATATGTATATAATTAATTATATACATATTTTTTACTTTTATTTTCTTTTTTCTATTCTTATTTCTGTAATATTAATCCTGTTGCGATATTAGCAACATATTGATTTTGAATGCAATCAGTCTATCATATGTAATGGCAACTTCCAGGAGAGACTTTATTAATCTCCATACAAATGATGGAAATTCCGCCAAATTATCAGTATTAACACCTCCTGCTCCCATTGGTTCAAGATGCCAGACTACTTTGAAACATTTTTTATTAGAAGAACCTGGATTGTCCTCTTCCTTTATAGGGATCGGTATATGTTTCTTACTACCTGAACATACCATCCACACATATGTACACATATATACATTGTGCATTATTTATTTGTAGATATATAATATCAAATATTGTATCTTTTACAATAATTTCCTTAATTAAAAGATTAGACATTAAAAGAGAAGACATAAGTTCTTTTCATTGTATTTTTAAAGATATTAATTTTTTTTTATTATCCTAAATAATGTTATAACTTTTAAATAAAATATGTGGAAACTCTCTTTCTCTCTCTTTCTCTCTCTTAATTATGCATCAAAGGTTTAATAAACATATATGAAACCCCACAAATTTATTTTATAAATTGATAAACTCTTATATATTTATGTGCCTATATACGAATTTAATTTTCGATTGAATATATGATCTATAGATAGTCTAAAAATATATGAACTCATTCTATTTCCATTGCTTTATATAATTAAACTCATTTGTATGTGCATTCTGTTCACTGCTCATATCATTGTAGAGTCTCACATTTAAACCGTAATGAAGTTGCATGTACGGTCAATTATCTGTACCCGGTAAAATTATTGGAAACAAACATAGTTTTTATTATAAAGTTTCCTTTCAGTTCAAATTTTTATTCCGATAATTATATATGCAGAATATAAATGTTGTTGCGCGCTGTCTTTCACTTGTTTTCTCACTCTGAGGTAGTCATATGTAAGCATTGTGATAAATATAAGTAGTCACAGAGTAGCGCTTACTAGCATTTGATTCGTAAAACGAACAACAATACAATGCAAATGCCATCATGATACAGACTTTCTATTGTATATTTTTTGTAAATGTCTGTATACTCAATTAAATATTCAAGTATCAAACATTACTTGCATCATAGTATAAATAATTCTGAGTATTAATATGTGCAGTATGCACGTCAGTTCGTCAGGTCATCATTTTTCTTTCTCTTTTCTTCCAAAAAATCGTTCATGCCTATAGGATGAAAAAGTGTATCGGAAGACATGCGATATCCATTATTATGCTTTGTAATGATGATAATGTACTGTGTATTATATTGCACACATGGCAATATAATACACATGCACTTTTTCTATTAAGATATTCATAATTTTTGTATATAGTTTTCTCTTCATATAAAGAGAATGTTGTACATCTTCAGTGATGAAAATTTTTATCAAGTTTATTCATTACATTGTATTACAATTTATAAATTAATTTTTTATATGTTGTTGCAATCTTGTATGTATGTATCTTATGTACATATGTATATAATTAATTATATACATATTTTTTACTTTTATTTTCTTTTTTCTATTCTTATTTCTGTAATATTAATCCTGTTGCGATATTAGCAACATATTGATTTTGAATGCAATCAGTCTATCATATGTAATGGCAACTTCCAGGAGAGACTTTATTAATCTCCATAGGATTAATCTTGCAGTATATTATCTTAGAAATATATTTTGTTATAAATCTGTTTTTATAGTGTTTTTTTATTATAAATGTTTGATAACATTAGATACTTGTCTCCTTTTTCACAAGACAGTATTTTTTTCTTTATTACAGTTGTATATATGTTAGATGTATGTTAAATATAGAAATATTTTTTATATTTTGCAAAAACTTGCATATATCATAATCATAGGATTATTGTCATATTTAAATTCGAATCTTATTCAGTCTTTACAAAATAAGAAATGTTCATAAATGCATATATATATCTTGAGAATTAAAAATGTTATATACTAAACTACATCATCCATGCATCAAAAATATAAATTGATGAAAAAGTTCGTTTATTTTTTATCAATATAAAAGCTATATATATATATAATTTGTAGATATATAATATCAAATATTGTATCTTTTACAATAATTTCCTTAATTAAAAGATTAGACATTAAAAGAGAAGACATAAGTTCTTTTCATTGTATTTTTAAAGATATTAATTTTTTTTATTATCCTAAATAATGTTATAACTTTTAAATAAAATATGTGGAAACTCTCTTTCTCTCTCTCTCTCTCTCTTAATTATGCATCAAAGGTTTAATAAACATATATGAAACCCCGATACTAAATTGAAACAAAATTTCGAAAAATGTACCAAACACAATTTTAGAAAGAAATATTTGTTTCTTAAACTACACACACACACACGCACGCACGCGCGCGCACGCACGCGCACACACACACACACACACACACACACACAGTATATCAAATTTCTATTAAAATCCATGATTGTGTTTGAGTTAATAGGTTATAAACAAAAAAGAAAATGTTATCTCTCTTTCTATAGGTATAAATCTTTCATAATTAAAAAAATAATAAGGAGCAGACAGATATACTTTATTAGACAGTATAAAATTATTATTATTATTATTATTATTATTGTCTCTAAAAAGTTTTATTATAATACTCCCCCAATATAATATATATATTCAAAAAACTAATTAAATGACTATTGGTAAATATACAAGCAGTTTGATATTTATACTGTACATGTTATGCTTTTAAGAAATAAATGAAATAAAGTATAATATATGTCAAGCTTTTTGAAATATTAACTTTTTCTATACTCACATAGAAACTTCCAACGATTGGTGTGTGGATTAATTAATGAACAACGTCGAGGCGGAGCTATCTTACATATAGGAGATCCCTCTATCCTCTCTATCCTTTCCAGCCATTTCTCATAATGAGGATAAGAAACTGATAACACTCGCGCTAATTTCGACAATCTCTCTTTCAGAAGTGCACCTTTCTCCGCAATCTAAGAAGTTTAATTTTAATATAACTTAGAGCATCTTTTTATACAATTTTTAACTGATTCAGTTAAAAAAAAAAACAAGATTATACACAATATTACCTTTTCTTCATACCACTTTTGCTCTGTAGGTTCATCATCAATCACTGTTATTTCTTCTTTATCTTGCTCCTGCTCGTCTCTTTCTATTGCAAGAGAAGATTGCGTAATTTCTTTCATTGACTGATCTATACCAAAGGTTTCAGGATCCAATTCAATATTTTCTATTACATCCAGATGATGCATCACATCTTCATCTGTCACTTCCTTCTGTGTATCCAGCTGATCTAAGCTGATATCAGCAGTAAAATCAATAGAATCATTGTGTAATTGATTAATTAATCCCTGATCGCATTCCACCTCCATCGGAACTGGTTTATCCATGTCGTTATTGCCAGAATTTATACTGTCTGCAATGGAATACAATAATAATTTTATAATATAAGCAAGAAATATTAATTAATAATAATGTCACAAATATCGTTTGACTATTAATTTTCTTTTGATAAAATGTGTATAATCAATTATTATAGAACACTTCTCAAAATTATTACGCAATACTCAAATTACAAATTCCAATAATACAATATATCTGTATGCTTGATGATATAAAACCAGCTATTAATTATGAAAAAAATTTTATACACAAGACTTTAATTGCGTATCATACCAGTATTAATCTTAGGATCTTGTTGTTGCGTGGTACTGTCTGACTTTGGACAGGCCTTCTCGGCATCCTCTACCTGAGCATTTTCAGCTGTTTCAGGCGTCTTCTTTCCTTTGCATTCATCTATTACCTCATGCTCCTCTTTGTTCATGACTGTCCCAATAAGTCGTCTGTAAAGACAAACTACGTGTATATAACAGAGTACAAAGCTATTATATCATCGAAATAAATCGATAAGCATTTCTCGAATAATCTTATCAGGTTAAAATCCGCACAATATTATATTAAAGAGCCTCAATGAATGATGGTCGGATTTAACTTGCGTTGAGATAAGGAACTCCAGAATAAAACGACATCCGCCAGTAAATTTTTATCGCCCTGCGATATCAACAACCATGTAAATGACGTAATACAATGACTCGCGATAGGATAATCGCCGTTGTAATGTATCAATTATCAATAGTAATAGGTCAGCGTACATCGTATATCTGTGCGATTTCGGTTGTTTATGAGACCAACGTGCTTCGATTCTTACCGTACGTACGTTTCCTTCGTCTATGAAAACGAATGTCAAAGCAAGATCGCTTTCACACTGCGATCTGCGAGCTTGCTTCTTTCTGGCTACTCGCTTTCGCCTCGTATCTCGTATCCATAGACACAGGATATATAATATATAGACTCATAAACTGCGCCTGAGATAGAGACATAGTAACGCAACAAAAGAGACAGCGATATTTAGCGAGCCAATCAGATATAGGAACGTCTTTCTTCTTTTTCTTCTTTAGAAAAAGATAGCATATCGGCTAAATACTCCAATAATTCGTATATAACTCTATTATTCGTATATCCTAGAGAACGAATAGTACGAAATACGAATGAATATGAATGATTTTAAATCACTCGATGCGTTTTTAGAAATGTCACTTGACGTTGAGATAATTTTAATTGAGAATTAATTTCAAATCAAATTTAATTGAGTTGTGTGCGGATAAGTATGTCAAATGTTGCCAAAATTTACAATCAACTTCTAAATTGTAAGCCTGATATTACATCTATCATAAGAGTTTGTCAAACGTATTGATTGGCAACTGGATAGGGAATTTTTAGTGTTTTTTGCAACAGCAACCAATCAGTACGTCCGACTAAACTCTTGTAGAGATACGCGAAATTCAAACGCCTAGATCATTATATTAGATATCTATCAATATTAAAAGAATTTTGTATAAACTTTTATAAGTCAAATCAAAAAAATGTATATCGTTTAATCTCCCTCTTTTTATAGATTCAAAAAATTATGCATATTAACTATAGTATTTAATGTATATTTGCATAAATAAAAAATAACTATTTATATCTAGATAATTTAGATTCTATTTAGATTATATTCTAAATCAATGTTTTATTATTTCAGGCAATAATGATAATACTAAAGCTTATGTATGTGTGTGTGTGAATTTCGTTTCAAATCTTCAAAGTTTTATTTCTTCTCTTTTAATCCTGACAAAAAAGAAATGATTTTTTTTTTAGAGAAAAATGTTTTTAATAATTTTCAATCTTTTATATTATATACAATTATATTGTAATATTTTATAATAGCCGTTTTATAATATTATTTCTCTCTCTCCCTTTCTCCCTTTCTCTCTCTTCCGAGTAATAATAATTTTGATAAAATATTGAAATTGACAAATAAAATTAATCGTGTAATAATAATATGTACATATAGATACACGTGCACACGAATCTGCTATTTTTAAAATTCCCAACCAAGGATAATGCAGACGTATCAATCTGTATCTTCGTACTACCCTCTTCTGCGGTATAATCAGAGTCCTATGCAAGGGATAGTTCGGTACATTTTGGTTGAAGGGCGCTTATATTCAGCGGCGCGAGAGCGTGAGCACGAGGGCGCAGACGCGCGTCTTATGGATTTTACCCCCCTCGCGTCGGGGGTGTCACGATATAACGGGTAAGGGTCCTGGTGGCGACCTGGTGGATACCTGAGGGGAATAGAGGGAGGAGAACGCGGCCGCGAAAGGGAGAAGGAGCGATGCGCGAATCGGCCCGCGGAGGGAGGAAGAGGAGGAGGAGGAGGTGGTGGAGATGGAGGAGAAAGAGGGAGAGGGAGAAGGAGGAAGAGGAAGAGAAGAGAACGAGGGGACCCACCACCGAAACGGCAGAAGCGACGGGTTGGGCCGGCCGTCTACAACAACGCGTGACCCGATATCGCGGGGATGAACAAGTCCGCGCATCCCCTCGTATACGACTTGGCCGAAGGGCTTTGACATGTGACCGAAGACGTGTGTATCACCTGGGTGCATCCGTCCGTCGGCATCTGCGAGTTTCTGCGAGGACTTCGCGATCAACCACGTGGCGATTCGGTGAGTTGTTTTTTTTTTTTTTTTTTTTCGAAGGGACCTTTTTAAAGGGATCCGTGTATCAACGAGGATGGCTTTCTAATGGTGGTTTCTTCGTACTCCTCGGATGTTGAGATGAATGAGAGAGAGAGAGAGAGAGAGAGAGAGAGAGAGAGAGAGAGAGAGAGAGAGAGAGACGGAGAGACGATTCTCTATGTATGGCCGATTGCGGCGTCTGACACATTTTTATCACTATCATATTTTACATTTTACAATTAGTAAAAATTTATTTATGAAGATTTTTTGAGGATACGTGACATATTACATGCGTGTGTTTATATCGAAATGTAAGTAGTGGTAAATGTTTCTTTCAGGTCAATCTCTTTCTCAGGAAAATTAAGAGAAAGAGTCGATAGCGAAGTTAAGGATTATTGAAAATTAATTAAAGAGAATTTATAAAACAAATTTGATCAATCATGCTGTAAATAAGTAAATGTTCAATCACTTTCAAGCTAATCTTATAATGTTAACATGACAAAATTTCATATGAATTTGAGAGTATTTTGAAAATTGTTTGAAATGTGCTCTCTGTCGCATGTTTATATCGATCAATTTTATACGTAGAAAATATGTAGTAAAAAAAAATACGTAATAAAGTTTTGTATATATAAATACTGTAACGTTTGTAGAAAACTGCAAACGTCACGTTACAGTATTTCAGCGCAATGTATTGTGGAATTTACAACGTGCAGATAAAAGCAATAGTCAAATAAATTTGATTTGTATATGTATAGAGAAAGTCGATAGAAGCATTCTTTCGTATCTGAACAATTTGTGATAATCGAATCATTACATGTACGATTTCATTACATGTACGATTACATTACATAACGATTTTATTAAATTTAGCTACGATGAATTATTAGATTGTTTAATTCAATTTTCATTAACAAAAATTGGGAGGTACAAAATATTTTATTGCTTAGATAAATAATATTCTTCAATAAAAAAGATTTAAAAAAATAACAAATAATAAATTGATCGGCGCTATGTCTATAAATTTCTTCGTAATTAATTATTTCAGTTTATTAAAACGAATAAATTAAAATTTTATTTAATAATTCAATTTTTATTAACAAAAACTGGAAGGTACAAAATATTTTATTGCTCAAATAAATAATATTCTTCGATAAAAAAGATTTAAAAAAACAACACAAATAATAAATTGATCGGCGCTATGTCTATAAACCTCTCCGTAATTAATTATTTCAGGTTATTAAAACGAATAAATTAAAATTTTATTTAATAATTCAATTTTTATTAACAAAAACTGGGAGGTACAAAATATTTTATTGCTTAGATAAATAATATTCTTCAATAAAAAATATTTAAAAAAATAACACAAATAATAAATTGATCGGCGCTATGTCTATAAACCTCTTCGTAATTAATTATTTCAGTTTATTAAAACGGATAAATTAAAATTTCATCCAATTTTATAACACGTTCTCACACAGAATCCACGTTTTTCCACTCGAAAAACAATTTTATGAATTTTTCGCGACACAGATGGCTTATTTCGCGGTAGTTTCAAGCGTCGCGAGTTTGTCACTGATGGTCTCGTCGCATAATTAAGGAAATAGTTCCGCTTATATTTCGCAGTTCTCTTTATGTTGTCGTGAAGTCTTTCTCGATCGTGCTTATACCCTCCAACAGTATTTCTTTATTTCGCAACTCGACGCGTTGTCACGAAGCCGCGAAGACTATAACGTCGTCGTGAACTTTCTCAACGCGAATGCATCGAGTCGCATTACTAGAATCGCGAAATGTACCAACATTTTATTAGAGATTACTATATTTTCATTTTAAATTGGGAAATAGCAGCGAGAAATGAAAACGCAAATGTATTGGAAACGCAAAACGATATAAGCGAAAAGAGTGTGATTTATTGATTTATCGTTAATTGAGTTACAAAATTTTATATAAATTAAAAAAAAAACTTATGAACACATTATATTTACTGATATTGGAAGAAAGTAATATGAAGTATAAAAGAAAAAAAAATATAATGAATAAATAAAAAATGTTTCTTGGTACTTACATTTTTCTGCATTTTCAGCGTGGGAGTCAAAGGCAAACCTAGAATCAAAATTTGATTATAAATTTATGTGTTTCAGAAAATTGAAATAAACATATTATATAGGAAAATGCAAGAGATAAAGAAGAGATACAAGAGAAAAAGAAATTTTTGTTAACGTAACGAATGCAATTACGTGGCCAGCTTAATCTGCATCTTTGCGCATCTGATCGAGGGGTGAGTGAGACACGCGAAACGCGATGAGACTACCAGAAAAACATTGACGTTTCGCTGCGAGAAGTTCAATGCTTACGATCGCGTGCCGTACACCGAATACTTTATATCAGAGTATATATGTTGATCCGACTCGAATATACTTTGGCGCGTTTGTCGTGGTGATCCGATACGGAAGGCGGTAAGGCCTGGCGTGTGGTTGCTACACCGTGGAAGTACAATACAGAGTGGAGAGAATTGGGGGTGTGTGGGCGTGAAGGTTGATTCATGCTGGTATAGTCCACTTTGTGACTGTACCTCGATAAAGGCAATGGTAGCACCGGTACAATTTATTCGCAAATTTTCAAGCAAACTCTCGTCGTCGTCGCTACGAAAACAGCTATTTTCTCAGAAAGCCAAGGCGAATATAAGATAAAGTCTTCTGCGGAGCATTATGTAGACACGATGTTTTATCTGCAACCATATTTTTCGCATAAATTCAGAAAGAGAGAGAGAGAGAGAGAGAGAGAGAGAGAGAGAGAGAGAGAGAGAGTGTCGCTATTTTTTAAAATGGTTTAAAGCGGTCACCAGCAGCACCACCCAAAATTTTCCAAGCGGGATAAAACGGGGTTGCGGGCGGGCTCTCGTGGACTATCCTCGCGATATATGTATGTATATACGCGTGCAAATTCGCGGACAACTATACATAACTGGCGCGCGTATATACGTACATATATGTGAATATGTACGTATTACATATCGCTTCCGCATACCGGTTTACGTATACACTCGATCGTTCAATGTCGCAGCAGTTTTGCAACGGTAGACAGGGGAGGGGGGTTGGGGGGGTGGAGGGTGGAGAGAGGAGGAGAAAAAAGATAATATGATGTTTTTTTATGCGCGTCCACGGTCAGCCGGCTTGTAATTGCCTAACCGCAAAAGTTCGTTAACGTCGATGATAGAAAGAAACGCGCCGAAAATATATCCGTTTCAGTCGCCGCAGTCAACAGATGACGATATGTGTTTATCGGGCATTCGCGTTTACGTAAGTTAGGCCATGCATTGTGGGAAACCGATAGGGTACAATAACAATTAATTCTTTCATAGGACAATTTAAAACCCTTTCTCTTTCTCTTGTATACAAAATAAAATGTTAATTAAAATACGATATCTGTATCTTATTGTTAAATGTATCTAATGATATAAAGAAAAAAATATATGATTTAAATAAATATCATTTAAGTTAGATTTAGTTACAAGAGATTGATACACATTTTTAGAAAAGCGATTGAATAAAATTAGATAAATTTATATCGACTGGTGATTTTTTAATAAAAGCATAAACATATTACATTTATATTTTTTAAATATTAAATATTATTTTATCGTTAAATTTATTGCATTTAAACATTTATTACAGATATAATATGTAAATTAAATTTTAATATTAAATATTATTTTATTGATCAAAAAAAGAAGTTTGTTAATGATGCAGAAAAAATTGACTAAATTTATATTTATTTTCACTGAATTCTTCCTATTAAGCAATATCTCATTATCTCGTTTCACGCGACTTTGCATTTTGTTAATTCGCAATAAAAACAATATTTTTATTTATCTAGTTTTCGCGAAATGTCGGTAAATACAACTTTACGATAAATGTTTCCAAATAAAACGCGTTTTATTTTTATGCGTTACTTTTAATTTTTGCGCATCGATAATTCGCGCTACATTGAATTTTCACTCGCAAAAACGTGAACATCAGATGCTAGTGTTTTCCGCTTGACCGCGCGGGGCTATCCGGTGAACAATTAAATAACCGTTTTTTCTAGCCTGGATGATATTTGTGAAATTGATTGTTAAAATGGCGGCCAGGTTTAAAGAGGTATTACGAGAGAGAGAGAGAGAGATAACGTTAAATTTGCAAGGGCGCGTGAAATAATTTCCCAATAAGCGATCAAAGAGACGTGAAACAAAGTTTACATTGTACACCGTATTTTCGCTACATTGAATGCGTTACACATATACACACCTCTGTCTGCGTATGATTTTCGGAAAATTGGCCGTTAATAACCATAAAATCCAGTTAGCCAAATCTTTTCGCGCATGAATGCGGCGATTGAACGGTGCGCGTCGCGTTAAATATCTATTAACTTCCGGTTTAGTCATGAGTTCATAATTTGAACGGTCGGCTTAAACGATTTGTTCCGCCGAGTTCATATATTTTGTCGTGCGTATTATTAATATATCTATTAAACGTGCACCGGTTATGCCGTCCCGTATTTTTAGTGACTATAGTATTCACAATTTAGTGCCGCCATTCCACACATTCTTCTTTTGTGCGTGCATAATTTGCGTATTTCATGACCGTGGATACTATTCTTTTTTATAAAGAGAAAAACGCATTATGTATTAAAACAATATATTACGCCGCTCGCGCAATTTTTTCCACGCGTTACTTTGGTTCGCACTTTGATACGCATGAATCCTTTCCCGAACCCATCATGCGAAAATTTAAACCTTAATTAATTGGTGTAGTATAGGTTGTCGCACAATATACGACTTTACCCCTAATTATTTACCAGCTCCGTCATGCGATTATTATATTACTTTTTTGTGTTTGTAAAGCAAAAAAAAAAGTAAATGATACTGATGGATTGTATTATTTCATAAAATTACTTTTTTTTTATTGGAAAGACTTTTATATATGCCAAGGATAGTATGTAACAGATTATAATTTCAATTTTTGGAATGTCCGAAATAATAAGTATACATATATACATATACATATACAATAAATATAATCTTTATGATTTTTTTATAACAAATAGCAAAATGTTCATCGATTAGCTTTATACAAAATACACGCTATTTATTATAAAAACAGATTGATCTTTTACAATTTTTGATAAACCATAAAAGTTATAAAAATAATATGAGAGAGAGAGAGAGAGAGAGAGAGAGAGAGAGAGAGAGAGAGAGAGAGAGAGAGTGTCACGTTCTTTTAAAATATTTTCAAGAAACATAAGAAGAGGCAAGAAAATAATCTCTCCCGATTTCGTAATTCTTAATTTAATTTTTCAAGATAGTTACACAAACTTTTATCAATCTGCTCTTCGTAAAATTATTCATTTTACAAATATATGTGGCATATCCTTAGGTTGTTCCGATATTTTGTTTTTCAATGTTGTTAACCAAATCTTTTCCTCTAATGATAAATAATTATTTTGGGATACATTTGCAATACATTTGCATAATATTTTCATTTCTAAAATTATTTCTTAAGTTTTTATTAATTCGTAAAAACTCTAAATTATGAGAAACGTAAGTAATATAAAATATCGCTATTCTTATATTCTTTCATTTCATTTCATTTTATTTTTTGTCTATTTTTCAATTTTGTTAATCAAATCTTTTCCGCTAATGATGAATAGTTATTTTGGAATACATTTATAAGATGTTCGCATAATATATTCGTTTCTAAAGTTATTTATTAATTTATTAATAAAAACTCTAAATTATGAAAAACCTAAGTAATATAAAATATCGCTATATATTCTTTCATTTCATGAAGTTCGTGTCAAAACAACGTTTGGCAACGAACACCGCCGCATCGGCGAACAATTTGCAAACGCGAATGGCACACAAAACTCACTTAAATCATCAGACAGGTCAGTCAAAGGTTAATTTACTGGAGCACAAGGGGCGAAGAGATTGAGAAGCAAATTTGAGGACAACCAGAGTATTCCCAAATTACTACAATCACTAAGCAATCGGGGATATATACTATATAATATCCGTTTCCAATTATTCCGAATATTTCCCACAAGTATTCTAAATTAATTTGCGCGTAATTTAATTTGTGCCAATTTTCGTTTAATGAATCGATTGGTTTATATCATTTGGCACAAACGTGTGGCTATGCAAGATAGAATCAGCGCAATGAACGACGTATTCTTTCCATTCCTAAAAAGGATACGAAGTATTTTATGCCTGTGAGTGTTTAATATTTTATTTTTATATACATATATAATGTATATTTATATTTTTAGATATTAGATAAAAAGAACATATATATATATATTATCGTTTTTCCCAATTTGCTGTGTACTTATTTATTGTTTCCAACTTTTAATACGATAAAAAGTTAATGAATAACATTGGTCATGTCATTTTTTTTTGACAATTTGTGTCAGACTAATTATATATATTTAACATGTCGTATTTATAGCATAACTTTAGATCGTACATTTGTTTAATTGCAGATTTAATATCGTATTCAAATTTATTTAGAGTAATATTTAAAAACTACAGATGACTTATGTGTTAAAAAAAAATTCACTCTTTATAATATATATCAAGATTATGGAGATCTGTCAAGCTAATATCAACGTTTATCTAATTTTGTTATGCATTTGTCGTTACCCCAAATTTACTAATTCAGTACACGTTTCTCTTGATAATTTTTTAATCTTATATATGTATAAATAAAATGTAATTTTCCACGGCTTTCTCATTACTCAAACAATGTACGTTTTATCCGTTTCAGCAATACACATGAATAAAATATCGTTATTAGCGAGTTTAGTGTGCGTTGGCCACTAAAAATTATTTGGTAGAGGTCGTGTGTGAGAAATGGCTTGGTATTTTAATTGGAGCTTGTTACGAGTCTCCATTACATATAACAATTTAACCGATACCAATTTCGCTCTTTATATAATTTCAAACAGAGACAAATTTCAAAAATATGTCTCTAGATATATAACAAAAAAATAAATAAAATAAAATAAAAAAATATATTATTTTGAAAATGTTTAAAGTTTAAAAAAATTAAATATTCTTAGAATCT